AGAGGTGTATATTACTTTATGCTTCTTTGCCTTCAGAATCAGATTGTAAAATTCGATTCTGAAGGGAAACGTACACTGAAGAAAAAATCCGTAGAAACTGTACCGAATTCCGTAGATTTTGCCTACGGATCCGTATTTCCGCAAAAAATTGTAAAATCCGTAGATCTACGGAGATTTCCGTAGATCTGGCATCTCTGGTAGTTAGCAACCTGTTATATAGACAACCATCTCTTCTGTACCATATTTCCTCGCTTCATATTGGCTACATACAGTCATGATGATGCAGCTTTGTCGATATTAGGAAATTCTGCGTTATAACATCCAGGGCCTGCCATCCGTCGTCTGGCTTGACGTGGTGGTTGCAAGCGTATCTCCAGTCTGATCTACGAGGAAACCCGAGGTGTGCTGAAGGTGTTTCTAGAAATTATGATCCGTGATGCCGTCACCTGTACTGAACACGCCAAGCACAAAACCGTCACGGCCATGGATGTCGTCTACGCTCTGAAGCGACAGGGACGCACTCTGTATGGTTTCGGAGGTTAAAACTTATCACCAACGTAACATTGGTGGCCCTTAAAAGTTAGAAGTCATTTCAGAAAAGAGTTAGAATAGAATTTATATAGAGTATCCCCTGCTTCAAAGTTTGGTTACAGTATTACAACTCTGGAGAGCAGCGGCACCGGTGGTGTAGTGGTAAGCGTAATTACCTCTCACTCAGGTAAACGTTATTACCTGGGTTCAAACCCAGTAGGCACCACTGGGATGTTCATAACATTTCTGATCACGCCTTCCTTCAGAAGGAAAAAAAACGGAGAGCATTTTGTGTGGTCGTTGGGGGCGTGTGGTTCTGAATTGGCAGCAAAATGTTCCGCAATTGCATCCTCCCTATTCGTACACGCCCGAAGATCGGAGGCGAATGTTACTACGACTTGTTTCATCTAGGAACCATTCTCTGATGACTGTGTTGGGGAAGCAGCATATGCATGTACGTAATTGGTGGATTTGCTAGTTATTTTGAAGCTTTTGGACAATGCTTGAAATTGACCACTTTTTCAATAGTTTCAAATTGAAAATCAACAGTCAAAAGCATTGTTATCGATGCGTGGAAATGTTTCTGATCGATTGGTGATAACATTCTTGAAATTGGTCCAGGGGCAGCTAAGTTATTAACGTTTAAAATCTTTCATAATTTCATCTGTCGGTTTTCATAAAGTGTACCCCCATCTTCCCGAAAGACGTAGTCCTACGTCAAAAAATCTTAGTCAAAATTTCATTCATTTTTTCGTCAATTACCAAGATTCACCTGGTCACAAAGAGTGTAATATCGTACATTCTGTGTCACATTAATGTTAGTCAAGCAGTTCAGGACGTAGATGCTTGTTCACATTAACGACTCCATGTCATTGTGTTACTAAAATCATTTAATTTCTTTAAAAATTTAGCTAATATAAAAATCTATACATTTTCGTCACTGACAGCATTGTCATTGACAATTGACATGGTATGCCTTGACTGTGACTGTTAGCTCAAATGAGTGACCATAGCAGAACTGCCAATATCACCGTGTATTGTCGAGATTTTGCAGCACTGGTTCAGAGACACCTGTCTGAGATCGACTCATCAGATCATACGTGATCTAGCACGTTAGGTTAAGTTATACTCGTAGTTAGGAAGGTTTTCACTTTTTTCAATTCAAACATAACACTGCATTTTGTAAACTGTAAACAAACTTGAAGAGCTTAGTAGGCCAATCAATTAAACTGTTAAATCAATGTACAATCATCGACAAACAGAAGTAAACATAATTTTAGTAGTAGTAAGTTTAACTCAACAAAAATGTTATGTAACGTTCGACTTCACTGGATGAAGGACCGGTCCCTCGTGGATGAATATTGAATTCAAAGTATATTAAGAGTATGTGCGAGAGCCTATCTTTACTACTTAGGGATGATCAATTTAAATCTGACATGTATAAAGCATAACATCTAATGTAGAAAAATAAAACATCAGCAGAGTGGCAGATGTTCGGCGAATTACATACTACTCCTGCGATTTTGTTGAGAAACAGGTTGAGAGAACGAAACAGGAACCTCTTTCGGAATCGATTGTAGCACTGTTTCGCACATCTCGTTTGGAAACTTTTATTCTCATTTCACTCGCGATTTTTGCACAGGGGAAACAGCCCTATTGTTGCTGTACATTAGCAGCGTTAGAAGCCTATTGTTGTGTATGGAGACCTCCATACACAACAATAGGCTTCTAACGCTGCTAACGTACCGCAACAATAGGGCTGTTTCACCTAGTTAGTTCTTCTGTGAAATGCTTATCTGAAGAACGTCGAATGTACTATTTTTGAAAATTATCTTTCCAGCACTGCCTGGAGGAATTGGAAAAGAACTTACAGGGTGAGATGGAAAAAATCCAAGGGAAGATAAAATAAATTTCAGGAAATAATAAAAAAAATACAAGGGCTCTATGTGGTTGTACTCAATGGTGACGAAGGACTACGTGATCTTATGTAATAAATCGTATTTGTTAACTGTAGCAGGAGCTGATGTTTTGTGCAGGAATAGGAATTTGAGCGAGGTTCTCTCTGTTTATACTCTTTAGTATGACGCGCTTGACATAGATGGCCCACAGCAACTCACTAAGAGCTACTGATTCCGATCAATAGCGGTGCGGCTCCTTCTCCTTCTATGGACGCTCATGTGGGCTAAAGCTCGCTGCTTGCAGGCCGCCTTTCGTTGTGTACTGAAGAACACCACCACTCACCACTCGGTGATTGAATAAACACCGTTTGGTGGGACCGGTTAGAATTCAACTTTGAAATCTGTGTCAGGGAAATCGCTTTTAGCAGGTAATCGGTAATCATTTTAACTATTATAGCAACAGTTGCACATTCGTGCAATTTCCAATAGTGACATTTTGAAAAAAGATAAAGTCTTGAATTTAACAGATGCGTAGAAATATTTCTGATCGATTGGTGATAAAATTATTTAAATTGGTCCAGTGGCAGCTGAGTTATTAACGTTCCAAATCTGTCATAATTTTGTTACATGTTCCATTTTCGGTTTTCACTAAGTGTACCCCCATAAAGAAATCACAGACGTAGTCCTTCGTCAAAAACTACATTTCGATGTAACTATTTTTTCACTGAATAACAGTATTTACCGATTCACAGCAATTACCGGTATGAGCCAGCAGCTGTTCCTCAACTGGTTGCCAACAACTGCGAGAAAACGGAAACATTAGTTGTATGAGTATCAAGCATAACATATTTTAAAAGATCAATAAATTTTAAATATTCAGAAATATAAAAGTCTTTCACAATAGTTTTCTCGGACAGTTCATCGCGGACAGGCAATAATCAGCTTGATTATTTAAAAAAAATCGTTATAAATCGGTATAAAACCTCAAAAATTGATAAACCTTATCTGTATATCGGTATCAAGTTCGAAAATTGATATATCCGGCAACGCTGCTCAAGCTACCTGTGGAAGACTCATCAACAATAGATTTTACTACGTGGCGAGCGGATCAGTTCTGCTAAGATGAAAGTGAAATTTATAAAACGTCACAAAGTGCTGAGTAATCTGAGTTTTCACAAATTTCTCTGTCATCTAAGTAAACATTTATCTCTCTCTCTGAGCTAGTCTCATCGGCCGTGCATTCCAATTTTTAAGATCCTTGGCTCTTCTAGGAATATTCCGAACGAGAGGTTATTCTGTTTGATTCGCTTATATTTTAATTCATCACAAATTTCCAGACGTCATTCGCAAACTTCTCACCGCCATGTCCCAATTAAAAGTCCCACCCAACCATCTCTTAGGAACCCGGCCAAGCGTGTCAAAATGAGTCAAACTCTTCAAACAAAAGTTGCTCCCATAAAAAGCCAATAAAAAGCCGCCACAGACGTGCCAAAAACAGCCGCAGCAGAATTCTTCTGGCTCTGTCGCACTGCGATCGTCTTCCTGGTTCCTCCCGCCGACCACCACCTCTCGCACGCCATAATTAAGACGCTTCGCTGTAATTAATTGCGCGAATTGTGGGAAATTACATAGAGTGATTTGAAAAGTCTCTGATGGTTGGTGTCACGACCGGGTGCCCCGTGTTATTCTGGTGGGTTTGAGTTTGATCCAGAAATCGCTGGAAACTTTTCAGCTCGTCGTTAACCCACGCTCCTCGTCCGTAATCTTAATTGAGAAAATCGATTTCGCTTTTCGTCTTTTTTTTCCCTCGATTTTCTTTTTTCCCGCTAGTCATGCTCTGCTTTGTTGGGCGAAAACAAAGCCCAATAACAGCACATCAACGGCAGGCAGCAGCAGTGGAAACAGCTCGAAACGCTGTACACAGACTATCCTTGCCATTCGTGAAAGCTTTTACTTTAATGGGCTAATTAGATTTTGATTGTTCATCGTCGTTCATCGGAATTGACGGAACGGCAAACGAGCAGCGGCATGTGCCAGGATTTCGAGCTTAGTTCCAGAGTTTGGATTCTGACGCCTGGCACGTCTACGAAATTCGTGAGTTCGCCTAAACTTAAACAGCCCAAGGACGGTAGACGGTATAGATGGAACTACGAAACAGGCAACCAGACAAAACCACCCACCTAGAGCGTTTCTCGTTTAGGAACGCGAATGCGGTTTTGGCAGAAGCCACATCGCTCCTGCGTTCAAGGTATCGCCACCTACATCACTAAACTGAACATTTCGATCGAGCGAAAATGGAAGGGAAGACCTAGCAACTCAATAATTAAGGCAATTTGTTGAGCAATAAATAATTCATTGAATTTTTGGTGCAAATAGGCAAACAGAAACAAGCAACTCTGCAGGGATTTATAGCTAACGTTACATCTGCGCCTCCCCTCCACCGATAAATGTTCAATTTCGTTCGAGATAAAAGAAACACCGTGCACCGGACTTAATTAAGGCAATGTTTCTCGAATGGCATTTGTCGAATCAGCGATCAAAGTGTTTCAAATGGCATGGGCAGGTACTTACAGTTCATGTCCAGGGAGACGGACGCCGTGATGGGATTGGTCACGTTGTTGTTGGAGGCCTGACACGTAAAGGTGGCCTTCAGGTGCTTCCGCTCCAGGCGATTCAGGATCAGGGTGTTCTTGACTCGCCGCTCGGACAGGATCGTCGACGAGTGGTTCACTATTTCGTTGTTGTACCACCAGTTAACGGTGGGCATCGGGCGACCTGCAGGGGGAGAAAAGACGGAGAGGTTAAATTTTGCTGCAAAATCTAAAAATATTGAAAAAAAAAAACAATTCATCGAAAAATTTCACAATGTAACAATGTTTTTATTTGCTGGCAGAATCTTATGAAAATGTCACATGCATCATTTAAGCATTATTGTATGTATGTAAATTGTCTGAAAACTACATCTTTCAGAGTTGGTTGAAAATGCTAACATGAAGCTTTAGTGTGATAATTTATTAGCTAGAGAATGATCTTTAGTAGAGGGTAGGTGGATAGTTCCGTTAGAGTACGGCAGTATGAAAATTGAATAGAAGTTGAAAATGAGCGAAGGACCATTAATGCGACAGTTTTTAAAGTCAAACGCACATCTTTTGCCTTACCCGTACGATGTACGTGGAGACTTGAAGTATGTCTTCAAATCTACAGGCAAAAGATGTGCGTCCTCCCAGTTTTTATATCAACGCCCTTTGATCAGTCCGCATCGTGCTCTCTTGCCGTGCGGATCTATTTGCTTTTTGCTGAAGGAAGTGTTACTACTACCTAAAGCTACAACAAATTTAAACAGCACTTTTCAGTGCTCAACCTGTAAAAAATTTTCTACCTTGTTCAACTCTTATTCCTCTTCGATCCTTGCTTGGACCCTACCCGAGGTAATCCTTTTTGGATATCAATTTGGAAAATTCCTCTTCGATCCTTCAGATTCTTATAGTAATCTGCTTGGATGTCGATTTGTATAAAAAATTACTGCCGCCATGGCGCCTAAGCGCAAAAGAAAGGGGCAAACTCTTGATCCCCCTTCTGATGAAATTAATTTGAGTAATCAATTTGATTTGCTCACGGACGATGAGAACCATCCATCATCCAAGAAAAATTCTAGTAAACTTTCCCGGCTTAATGCCAAGAAGGAAAAGATTCCCCCTATTGTGATAACCACTTCCGATTTCCATGCTCTTTGCATGAAACTTTTGAGCTTCGTGAGTTAAGTTTTTACTACAAATTGGACGTCGGGGTAAATGCCGTGTATTGGCTGAAACCTTGGACGGATTTAAATGTCTTCTCAAGTATCTTACTGAGAAGCAGCACAATTTTTTTTACTTACGACACCAAAACTGAACGTGTGTTCAAGGTTGTCATGAATGGACTGCCCAGTGGTGAATCCCTGGATCAAATCAAAGATGAACTGGCCAAATTCAGGGCTGTAACAACAGGCGCGGATTTCGCGAATTTCGCGGATTTCGCGATTTTCGCGGATTTGTCGCGGATTTGAACTTTCAGTCGCGAAAATCACGGAAACATTAAATGATGTCGCGAAAATCGCGAAGGGACTGATGTGCTGTCACAAAAATTGTGGAATTCATTGTAACCTTTCCGTCCCGGATTATTTTGCTGTCATCAATTTTGTTGTTCATTTGGCTCTCAATTTTTACCGGTTCAAACCAAACACCCTGCAAATAATCGAGAAATGATCTCAATTCCATAAGTCACACCGGATTTACACGGAAATTCCGTGAGGTCTGTCCAATGAGAGACATTTTCATGTTTTTATTTATTTCCAATATGAACATAGCATTTTTCGATGTCAAATCATAAACGAATCGTATATATGCGGGTAATTACCATGTATACCGGATATTATAGGTTCTCCAAATCATCCTGGAGTTCAGTTGATTTGTTCAACTATATCAACCAAGACTGCAATAATGTCTGTAGTATCGAAATATGTCCAAACAGATCCAAAGTGTCTATGGGGATTGTGCCCGACCTATTGCTACGTATACAAGATGTTATAGGTTCTGAAATCATTCTGGAGATCAGATTATGTTTCTACTAAATCATCCAAGCCTAATTCAATATCTGTAGTATCGAAATATGTCCAAATAAATTTGCAGTGTCTATGTGGATCATGCCAACCTATATTCGTGTATGCCAAATATTTCCTAAGGATTTCCATATCGATATTTCGATACTACAGATCATAAATCATCTGGTATACGTGGAAATAATTAAACATCATCCATATAGCCACTATGCATCTGTTTGGACATAATTCGATACTACAGACTGTATCCCAGTCATGGTTGATCTAGTAAAATAAATCATCTGAACTCCAGAAAGATTGGGAGAACTTAAAACATCTGGTATACATGGCAATAGTTCATGCATGATTCACATAGGCACTATGCATCTGTCTGGAAATATTTCGATATTAAAGACATTGTCCCAATCTCGGTTGATCTAGTAGATCAAATTATATGAACTCCAGGACGATTTGAAGAATTTACATCTGGCTTACTCGGAAATAGATCATGCTTGATCCACATAGGCACTTTGAAACTGATTGGACATTTTTCGATACTACAGACATTATTGCAGTCTTGGTTGATGTAGTAGAAAAAATCAAATTTGTAAAACCTATAATTTCCAGTACACATAGTAATAAGTCGTGCATGATCCACAAAGTCACATATATATATATGATTCGGTTATGATTTGCCAACGAATAATACAATGTCTCACCATTGGACAGACCCCAAGGAATATCTGTGTAAATACAGAACCGCGACGTGACCAACAAGTGTGACTTATGAAACTCTGGTAATTTCTCGATTGGTTTGAATTGGTCAAAAATTGAGAAAACTAGAGCCAAATTAACTACAACATTTACGACAGCAAAATACGTCAGAGACGCAAAGATTAACTTTCAAGAAAATTTGCATTTCAAATGAAAATGATTTTTTTTAAATAATGCTTCATCAAATCTAGGCCTGTATTAATCAATAGAAACATTCATAAGCTAGGGGGCGACCCCAGCGTAGTGGTTAACATCCATACCTCTCACGCCAAAGTCACGAGTTCAAATCTCACCCCCGGACAAGTCACAAATGACTCAAGAGTGTTAAAGTGACCATAATAATAATAAAAAAAAAACATTCATAAACAACTGATTTTTTTTCAAAGGATACAAACGATACTCCCCCCTTAGCTCAGTCGGTAAAGGCGCAGCTACAAAGCGAGGCCATGCTGGAGGCGACTGAGTTCGATTCCCGTTCGGTCTATTATGTTTTCGGGTTGGCAAATTTCTCTACTTCCTTGGGCATAGAATGGTACAGGCATAGAAAGCTCTCAAATCAATGTGAAGTTACTTCAAAGAACACTAAGTTCAGAGCAGGCAAAATCTAATATGCTATATGCAATAAGCTTGAAATGCCATGTAGTAGTATACAAATGGTATTTTTAGGCAATGAAAACAGTTTTTTTTGTCGCGGATTAGTATTTGAAGTCGCGGATTTCTTTTGAGAAATCGCGGATTTCGCGGATCAAATTAAGAAAATATTTTAACAGCCCTGCAAATTACTTGGAGTTGTGCCACTCCAAGTAATCAAAATGAAAATGAAATCCCGTCCTGGCGATTCGCGCAACGGGATTTCTAATGATTTTTATTTAGTTCACTTCAAGTCTAGTGAACTAAACAACCTTAAGGCCTTAAAAAAGCTAGCCTTATGCTCCATGTCCGAGTGAAGTGGGAACACTTCAGGAAGATTGGAGAAAATTTCCAAAACCTCACTCAGTGCCGTAAGTGCCAGGGATGGGGTCACGGAACTAAAAATTGCTACATGCCAGCTAAATGCATGAATTGTGGTGATTCCTCTCACGCAAAGGACGACTGTCCTGTGAAGGAAGATCCTAAGAAATTTAAATGTTCAAATTGTGGTGAAAACCACAAATCCAATTTTTGGGAATGTAAGACTCGCAAAGCGATCCTACAATCTCGTTCTAACCGACAGGTAAGAAACGCTCCACGTTTCCGAACAGGTACAAATTCCTCTGCTGTTAACAACGGTCAGCGAGGAACAAATTCTACATTCGTACCCGTAGGTACAAATATCACCCCTGCTTCAAATTTTTCATCTGTACCTACTCCCCTCGCTGCTAACAATGTTCAGCGAGTTAATGGAGCTACCTATGCTGCTATTGCAACGGGTAGAAATCAAAATACTAACCAAAGTAATTCTAACGGAAATTTTGACAATTTTGACTTAGGAAGCATTACTGCCCCTAAAATGGAATTTTTACAGAATTCATTAATTGACATGATTTCTGATATGCTTAAATCTAACTCCATGTTTGATGCTATTCAAACTGGAGTAAAATTTGCAAATAATATTGTCATGACTTTAAAATTCAGTAATGGATTTTAAAGCATTAAATATTGTAAATTGGAATGCTCGATCTCTTAAAGATAATGAAGACGAGCTATTTAACTTTTTGAGAGTTCATAACGTGCATATTGCCGTTATAACTGAAACGTTTCTTAAACCTGACCATAAGGTTAAAAAGGACGCAAATTATTTGGTTTATAGAAATGATCGTCTTGATGGACCCTGTGGTGGCGTTGCCATCATTATTCATAGACGAATCAAACATAAAATACTTTCTTCATTTAAAACCAAAGTTTTTGAAACTTTGGGAGTTTCTGTTGAAACAAAATTTGGACAACTTACGTTTATAGCTGCCTATTTGCCATTCCAATGCGTAGGCCAGCAAAAGAATTTTCTCAAGGGTGATCTCCAGACACTTACCCGTCATAGGTCTAAATTCTTCATTATTGGTGATTTTAACGCAAAACACCGCTCATGGAATAATGCTCAAAGCAATTCCAATGGTAATATTCTGCAGGTTATTACACTTTTCAATATCCAAACAGCCCAACATGCTTTTCTTCTGCAAGAAATCCCTCCACTATTGATTTGGTCTTAACTGATTCATGTCAACTTTGTAGCCAATTGGTTACCCATGCTGACTTCGGTTCTGATCACCTTCCAGTAACTTTTGAAATATCCCAAGAAATAATTTCTTATCCCAACAGCTCTACTTTCAATTACCATAGAGCTGATTGGGAGCAATATCGAACATTTATGAAATATAACTTCGATCCAAACATTCCTTTGCAAACCAAAGATGAAATTAATTATGCTCTTGAATCTCTGACTACTTCT